ATATATATATATATATGTATGTATGTATGTATGTATGTATGTATGTATGTATGTATGTATGTATGTATGTATGTATGTATGTATGTATGTATGTATGTATGTATGTATATGTGTGTGTATGTATTCTTTTCTTTTACAGCTTGTTTCTCCATCAGTAGGATCGTCAGGAAGCCTTATGATCCTACTGATAGCGAAACAAGCTGTAAAAGAAAATAAAAATTAGATAAGTGTTTTTACTAATTTATATATATTCAAACACATGAAAATCATAAATTTACTAAATTTTACACCAAGTACACAAATAATACTATTAAATATCTACTAACCTCTTAGAAATATTTAATTTTACAAATCAACTTCAATGTTATTATTATCACTTTTCAAAAGGTTTGCCTAACTTCCAAAAGTCAATTAATCAAACAATATGGGCTGAAAGTCATAACTTTGTATGAGAATCAGCTGGCCCAGTTAATTAAGTTCGGTACTGTATATATATATATATATATATATATATATATATATATATATATATATATATATATATATATATATATATATATATATATATATATATATACAGTACCGAATATATATATATTCGGTACTGTATATATATATATATATATATATATACAGTACCGAACTTAATTAACTGGGCCAGCTGATTCTCATACAAAGTTATGACTTTCAGCCCATATTGTTTGATTAATTGACTTTTGGAAGTTAGGCAAACCTTTTGAAAAGTAATAATAATAACATTGAAGTTGATTTGTAAAATTAAATAAATATTTCTAAGAGGTTAGTAGATATTTAATAGTATTATTTGTGTACTTGGTGTAAAATTTAGTAAATTTATGATTTTCATGTGTTTGAATAATATGAAATAAAAGGAAATTATGTTATTGTTATATTAATTTGAGTGATAATACAAGTTATCCAAATATGCATACAGGTAGTTTCATCCAAAAAAACTGAAAAAACAATAAATATTCATTATTTATTTTAATTTTTTGGTATTTTATAAGAAAAAATAAGATAAATTGAAACAAAATAATTTAAAATTAAATTTAGTGTCAGCAATGCTTCCAATATGTAATATTGTGTCAAATAAAGCAGAATTTGTATAAAAGTTAAGTTAAAATGGTATATTTTATCTTTTTAGAGAATGACTGGAGCTAAGAGGTTAAGTATGGAGACGCGGATGAGGGTAGTCTTGCTGGCCGAGCAAGGTCATTCGCATCGCCAGATCGCTACAGACCTGAAAATCAACCGCAAAACCGTTGATTCATTGGTAATAAAGCATAAGAATACCGGCAGTGTTGGGGATTTAGCTGGAAGAGGTAGGAAGCGAGCTACCACTGAGCGGGAGGACAGGCTGCTCATCCGCATGTCAAAGCGTAACCGATGGTTGACTTTGCCGGAGCTGAAAAAGGCATGGAACGAGAACTACGGAGTTGACGTAACCAGCCATACTGTGCGTAAGAGACTGCGGGCAGCTAATCTGCGTGGTTGTGTAGCAGCAAAGAAACCACTTCTGTCCGAGAAGAATCGTCGCAGCAGGCTGGAATGGGCGAAAGCTCATAAGGATTGGACGGCCGATGGCTGGAGCAGAGTTTTATGGTCAGACGAGAGCTCGTTTGAGTTGTTCTGGGCTGCAAAGCGTGCCTTTGTGAGAAGGAGGCCAGGGGAGAGATTTAATGCTGACTGTATTCTGCCATCAGTAACACATGGGGGTGGGTCAATAATGGTATGGGGTTGCATGAATGGTTTTGGGACGGGAGAACTTCGGCGTATCGAAGGTACTCTTAACCAAAAACCGATACATAGAGTTGTTGGAATCAGCTATGTTGCCGTCTGCTGCAAAGCTTTATGATGGTCAGCAGTATATTTTCTAACATGACAATGCACCTTGTCACACAGCAAAGACTGTGACCACATTTCTCAGGTCTAAAGGTGTCACAACGATGACTTGGCCGGCCCAGAGTCCGGACATGAACCCGATTGAGAATTTGTGGGAAGTGCTATTCAAAAAGGTGCAGAACAGAAAGCCAAGTAATCTGGATGAATTGTGGCACATGATTTCCAATGCCTGGAATAATATATCACGTGACACTCTCCAGAATCTGGTACAGTCAATGCCGCGTCGCTTGAGGGAATTATTGAGGGTCAAGGGTCAAAGTACAAAATATTAGATTTTTTTCTTTCAATGACTGAATTTCTTTGTTATATTGTTATATTTACATATTTTGTACATTATTATATAACACTATTGCTACCTGTAAATAATTAAAATGTGACTGTAAAATGTGACTGGCCCAGTTAATTAAGTTCGGTACTGTATATATATATATATATAGCTGTAAAAGAAAATAAAATTAGATAAGTGTTTTTACTAATTTATTATTGTTCTGTTCTTTAAGAACATTGAGCACTCTATTTGTAGAATACACTAGCATAATATATATATATATATATATATATATATATATATATATATATATATATATATATATATATATATATATATATATATATATATATATATATATATATATATATATATATATATATATATATATATATATATATATAATGAGAGAGAGAAACAGAGAGAGAACAACGTGCAATATTAAATAAGCAATTTACATAAGTATAAGCTATGTAAAGTTTTATTATTTTTCAGGAATTAAAAAGAGCAAACAAGACAATTATTTTTTAGAAATACAATAATATAAATAGCTAACATGAAATTTAAGTTAATTTTATTGTTTCATATTAAACTAAAAATTAATCAAGTTAAAATATTACTTGGTTTTTTTACATATACTAAATCTAAAATACATCTATTTCTTATATGTACTATTTTTAGAAGACTATATATCTGTCATCATATTAGCTGTTCCAATATTTCAACCCTATAATATTAGAAATATTGAAACAATTATTATGACGATAATTAATTGTCATCATAATAATTGACGACAACAGTTATTGTCTTGTAAAAAATACTTAAATATGGTTCGGTTTACTAATTTAGATACCAAGTTGCATTAGTAGCTGGTAATGAACAGTTAGACAATGCTTATTGATATTTATTAGTATTATATATGATTTTATATATTGATAAATATATTAATTAAGCTGACATTATTTTTCCTAGATGATTTTATAAAACACTTCAAGAAAACAATTTGATCATTAAAAGCACAATATCATGTTCTTACTTGACAGAAGCTGAAACCAGATTTTACATTTTTTTTAAAGTTTAAAAACTTCAAGATTTAAAAAATATGGTTGGTTAAAGTAGACAAATTCTGTATTAATGGAATATGTTAACAATCTACAGATTGATTATATTGATGAATTTCAGAAATTCGATTGATAATTAAATCAAAAGTTCAATCAGTATGATACAACTTGTTAAATTACGTAATACTGAGAGATAAATAAATAAAATTTATCGATTTTTTTGTTGTTGTTGTTAAAAATATAATTAATAAATTTTATATAAAATTATTTCCTTCCCATGAGATACAAAGCTCCACAATCTAGCAAACCTGGCCTTTGAGCCAATGTACAGATTCAAACATGTGTACTTTAAATTTAGAGATTTTATTAGGGTATATTATAATACATTAAAATTATATTATCAAATATTTTTAGCTCTTTAATTGAACTATTAATGTTATATAAATGATGAGTTAAACTTTTGTGCATGTCTTTTTTCATGCCCTTTCAAACCTGCCTTAAATACAGAAAAATGTTAAATTAAAAAAAACTTTTGATCCTGTTTGTTTTTAATGTTTTAAAATTAAACCTGGGGAATTGATTTTTTGTAGTTATAAGGCTGCTCGACACTTTTGTTGCTCTTTTTTGATATCTCCCTTCCCAAAATGGTTTTGTGATATTTTTGTATCCCCCCCCCCCTCACCCCAGCCTCCTATTTCTTAAGTGACGGGATATTTGTAAACAAAATATATCTAAAAGTTTACTTATTAATAAGGAATTAAGTTGAATTCAAATTCAATATCAATTTTTATCACAACGGAATTAGATCACACAAAAAAAAGCTATTTGTATAGCCCTAGACGTTACACATTAAGAAAGCCTTAACAATGCGCACGTTAAGGGCGGATACAAACGATTAAGAAGTTAAACTTTCAAAGTACCTAAAGAAACGTTGAATGTCATAATATTAACGTTTAATAGGAAACGGGGGTGCGAAACCAGTGGTTTAACTGCGTATATATATACTATGGATACCAATAAGAAGAAGTTGTATTAGTGGCGGATTTAGTATAGTACTCTTTAGTAAGTGCCTTGGAGAACAAGTAAGAAATGTAATGCTATACCTGCCTAAAAGTACCTACGTTTTAAACCTACCAACCCACCATTTTATAATATTTTTTTAAATTTAGTGTCTCCAAACTTTTTATAATTGACCTACTACCCTCCCCCCTCCCCTATCTCATATTTTTACATTTGCAGATCCCTCTTCCTCTCCGAGCGTTCGTATTTTATGGACGATCTCTTAACTACTTTTTAAGTGCTACGAAATAAAAAATTTTAAATGTTCAAAATAACTAAGTTTTCAATTAAATAAGATTTCAAACTCTTTCCCTAGGGTTTTTAATAAGTGGTGTAAGATTTACAACCCTAAAATTAAAGGCACCTGATTCGTTTAAAAATCATTAAATAACAAGCAATAAGTTTACGACTGTTAGGGAGCTACTCATAAAAATCAAGTGAGCTATAAACTAGTCAATTTTTTAAAATATTTGAAAATAAGGTCAAGATAAATCTAATTATTTAATAAACAGGGGTGGGTAAGGGGAAAAAAAGAATTATCTGGTAGTATGAAATGCAACGAACAAAGAAAAAAATGAATTTAGTAATTTTCATATATTTTGTAGTATTTTGCTTCTCTGTTTTTTTTTTATTTTTTGTATAATATTTAATCGCTTACATATAAATTTTCACATTTAGACTTTCTTTTTAAAAAATTTTTATTGCAATATATTCTTTTTCTCAAGGTTGGTTTAAGCTTTCTGTTTATAGGGTTAGTTTTTGATTGTGTGATTTAAGAAAACTATTTTTTTATAAATCGAATAACACGATCTTCTAACATGTGTAACTTTGATAACAATGAACCATATGACCAATTAGAACAATAAAACTATTAAATCAGCAATATACTTTTCTAAAGATAAATATATAGTAATAGTAAAAAAGCATATCTTTTTTATCTAATATAAATTTCATTTCTCAAACATACTACAAACACTTTAATATGTATACTAATATAATACTCTATGCAATACTTATCAACCAATAGTTTTTTAAAAATATTTAATCAAAACATTTAAAATAATATACTTTCAAGAATATTGTTCTAAAGATCAATATCCTATACCTTCTATCCAAAATCATCAAATTGTGTGCTCTTATTCATCTATTAAATTGTCTATTTGTCTGGAATCAGGCACAAGTTAACCTCCCTTCCTCAATCTATTATTTCTTTACTGATATAAAAAGTTCTTGTTATTATCTTCCGTTGTTTAGTAACCTTAAAATATATATCCTCAATCATTACTTAGTTATGTATGTAAATAATAATTCACAAACCAATGCATAAAATCATGGAATAGATTACCTCTTCATTTTAAATCACTAAACCTTATTACTAAAACCGGTCTTTACGCCTACTTTTGGAAAGATATTTGTGCATGAATGTAAGAATTTTTTTAATAACTTTCTTCTGGTGCATTTTAAATGATCATGTTAAAAAATAAAGATGAAATATTTATTTATGTTATATTAGCTAATAGAAAAGCAAATTTACTTACTTTACATTGCGTGTATTTGGAAACTTGTGATTGCTAAAACAAGACATACACACATATATTATGTGTGTACGTTTTGTTTTAGCAATGGAAAGTTTCCAAATACATGCAATGTATTGTAAAAAAAAAATACTTTTCTATTAGCTAATATAATATTAATAAATAATGTTATTTTTTTATCTTTATTTTTATAACATGATTGTGTAAAATGCACCAGAACAAAGTTATAAAAAAAAATCTTAGCACTTAACTACTCACATGATAAAAATGCATTTTTCTGCCAAAATTAAATTTAAGCAAGAATCAAAAAATAATAAAACTATAAATTAAATAACATTAAAGAGGTTAAAGAAAAAATTTTCAAATTCGTACAGTTAGAAATTCAGAAATTTTATTTCAAAAAAATAAACAACTTGCTTTCCTACAGCAAATTAGCTTTCACAGAAAACAACTATGTGCATCTTAACTTGTTTTTAAACTTAATTTAATTGCCTAATATTAAATAAATGACGCTTGTTTATTGATGCAAAAAAAAAAAAAAAGTTTATAATAATGAACAGTACACCAAAAAATGCAACTAAATGGTATTCATCTAAAATTTACTCCGTAGTTAAGAACCGCAGCCATTTTAAAAGCTCTAAAGTTTTTACTGAAAACTCGCGCATGCGTATCTAAAACTAACGCTTTTTTTCTAATATCTAAACGACCGTGAGTAGGATATCCGATTCTTGTTAAACGCCATAAACCGGGAGAAAAATTAGACTCAAAATATTTAAACAAGAATTATATATTTGAAGAAAGAAAGCAAAATTTAATCATTGTAGTCAATCAAAAAGGAAACGATAAAAAAACTTTTAAATTCTGAAGCTGAAAGCATACAACAAGAAACATGAAAACGTAAATGAAAACGAAAGGAAAATAGTTAAAAGAAAACCATATCCAAAGCAAATTAATAGACCTAAAAAGTTTTACTATTGAACATTTTTAAACATGATTTATTTATTTGAGTAATAATAGAAACTTTCCAAAACAGGGGAAAATGTTAAGAGTTGGTAAAGAAATACATAACATTATAATTGGTAATGTGTAAACGTTCATGTGAAACTCATTAGAACTCTTGCGTTAGTTAGAAAGATATTGAAGTGAGTAATGATTGTTCATATAATACTAGTTGTAAATATGTATGTTATTATAATAAATTTTTAATACAAACAAAATAAGAGTTAGTAAATATATATTTAAAATAGTGAACACAACAACTGATAAAATAAGAAGAATAAAATATTGCTTAAGAAATTAACAAATGAAAATAAAATAATTATACTAGTTATACTGCTTTATTTATTTCTGCTAAAGTTTCAACTTTTGAAATTTAGAAATTTTGATTTAATTTAGCTTGTTTTTTTCAACATCTTATATTATGATTAGGTTTGAAAAACTTCTCGATGAAGCTCTAGTTTTATTGTAACGAAAGACATATAATTTAATTCTTTTTTTTAGTTAAATAACTTATTCTTAACAATTTACAAAATTTATTCAATAGTAATACTAAAGTAGTATCTATCGATTTCCATTCGGATATAAGTGATAACAATAGTATTGCTGCTAATAGTAACAAAATTTATATTAATAGTGTTATTTCAGAAACAATAGAGAGTATTGATTGTCAGGTGGATATAAATAGTAGCTTTAATATTATCAAAAGTAGTAACAAAATTATTAATGATGATACTATCATTTCTTAAAGTACATTATCAACAAATGCAAGTCCAACTAAAGCAAAATTAAAAGCAAAAAACCAAATTTTTTAAACAAAAGTTGTGACGAAAAAAAAAAAAAGAAAAAATTCATTGAAGGTTACGCTAAAAAATCTAAGCAAAAAAAAAATTGTTTCTAAAGATGTTTCTGCTAATGTTCTTTTTTTTAAAAAAAAAAAAAATCAGTTAAAAAACAATATCTCACTTCCAAAAGAGCATAGGTATACTAAAGAAATTAAAAAATTTGCAATAACTCTACATTTTTACTCACCTAAAACATACAATTTCCTACGGCCTATACTCCATTACCTGCTTTAAGCTCTTTAGCCTACTGGACTTCTTCTGTAGATTGTGAGCCTGGTTTTTTTGAAAATTATTAAGTTATATTAGTATAAAAGCTGAGACTGACATTATTTATAAAGATTTTGCATTAGTTATAGATGCAATGGCAATCAAAACATCAGTTCTAAACAATAAAAAGACAGGTCGATTCATTGGCTTTAAAGATTATGTAAATAATATTGTTGCAGTTAAGCCAGATACACCAGCTACAGAAACTTTAATATTTATGCTGGTAGGATTACGAGGTTATTGAACAATACCTATTGGCTATATACTGTGTAGTAAAAAAACAGCTGAAAATCTTTCATGTCTTATTAAAAAAGCATTAACAGTTTCTTCTGATAAAAAAAATTAATGTAAATAGCATTATATTTGATGGGGTAAGTGTTAACTTTAATTCTGTTGCATCACTAGGATGTACATTTAGGAAATGACTAGAAAAAAGTAATGGACGATTTAATTTTTAAGGGTATAATCACTACTTGTATGTAATCCCTGACCCAAGTCATATGCTAAATTTAGCTAGAAATGCGTTATGTGATTTAGAAGTACTTAAGGATTGTGATGGAAAATGCATTAAATGGAGTTTAATAAAGGCTTTATATAAAATACAAGAAGAAGATGGATTGAAATTTGCAAATAAAATCTCAATAAAACATATTTATTTCCAGCATCACAAAATAGATGTTAAATTTGCTGCAAAAAGGCTTAGTAGTTTAGTTGCAAATGTAACTGAATTTCTGATGTTTTCCAAAATCCAATTTTCAAGCATGCTGAAGGAACTTTAAATTTTATAAGGGTCATTGACAAATTATTTGATATGCTGAATTCTAAAATTTTTTTTTTCAAAGTTATATAAAAAAGGTCTTTTTTTAAATGATTATCCTTGTTGAAATGCAACTTTTTATCAAATAATAAGCTACAAGTCAAAATTAAAACACCAGTAGGTAAAGTCATTTAAAATACTTTGCAAATATTTTTCTAAGTTTTTGTGTCCAAAAGGACAAAAATTACATTTTCTTTAAAAAGTTTTAACTTCTTGAATGTTGAGGTAAAATAGTACCATCATGTTAAAAAGTTAAGGTTTTTGTTCTATATGGTTTTAAAAATAAGGCATTTTTAAAAAAGACAATAAATTTCACGAAATAGACTTTAGAGTTCAGTTTTTCGAATTGATTTTCATGTTTTACAACGCTCAGATATATTAAGTTGATATTTTCAGGAAATAATTTTTTTTATAAAATCTACAAGAGGATTAAATTTAAAGAAAAGCTGAGATGGTCACCAGGAAAGTATTGGGTCATTTATTATGGAATGATCATGCAAAAAAAAAAAATGTTCGCGCTCGGTAAACTCATCGCATTCTATAATCTTCTTGGTCCTTGTTCCAACGTAGATACCAGCTCTAAACTCAGTTTTAGACAGCTTTGAAAAATTTTTAAAGTTGTCTAAGGCTAAATACAAGATCTTTAAAGTCTTGTAAAAACTTGAATGGTATTAACTCCAGTGAAAAATTGCTTGATGATATTTAACTTAATATAAAGTAATGGTACAAGCACTTTCAGTGGTTTTATCAGCCCTTACCACTCCACATTACTCTTGCCCACAAAAAACTTAGTCTTTTCTAATAAGTTCTTTTTGCGTAAACAGGTATTAGTATCACAACTATGCCTGAAAAAAAGAAAAGAAGGAAAATCGTTTAAACCAAACAAAGGCCATCGAGGAAGCACACCATTTCAAAGTTACTAAAAACCTACAAATAGTTGTTATACATCAAAATAAATCTGCTTGAAGCAAAAAAACACTTGATACAATTTAAATACATAATTGTTCTTTAAACACAATTTATTTTTATTCACTAGTTTTATTATTCATTTTTTATCAAAGTTATTTATCCTTTATTCACTAATAACACAAACTGAAATGTTGGTTTGAGTCACTTATGCATTTATACCTGTATCTCTTTTTTTAAACAGTTCGAAAACGTTCTTGAAAGTTTCTTAAATTTTCCAAAACATTCACAAAAATTTTTTAAAGAATATTTTTGAATCTTTTTAAAAAATATCTAAGCCCAAAAATATTTGTGTCTTGTTGTTTTTTTTTTTAACTTTGGCAAAATGAGTTAGTAAAAACACACTTTCAATCCAAAAACAAAAAAAATAACTCCTTAATAAATTTATTCATTTTTTTACAAGAAAAAATGAATTAAAAAATCACCTTAAAATTTTTGTAAAAAAAAAAACAACTTTTAAAGACAATAGAATATTTTAAGAGAATTATTTATTAAAATTTTTTATTTATTAAAATTATTTATGAAAACTTTTAGATTTATGTAACGTAATTTACGTAAAATAGTTTTATATTGAATATAATTAGTTGAAGTTTTGTTATTACCAATCAATATAAAAAAACATTACATGAATATTATTCAAATTAAAAAAAGACCATTATAATTTAAAAGCTTTTTTGTTGCGAAATAAATACTTAGAAATTAAAAAAAAATAAACTAGATATACTTAAATATACATAGTCACACGATGTGACAAGTTAACATGGTCACATTATAAAAAATAATTCTTTTTGTTGTTCTCATCTTTTTCAGGGCTAGAGTTGAGATTAGTCAGAGTTAGCATTTTTTTAAATTAGGATTAGGCTTTAGGAATTTCAGATTTAGGGTAAAGGTCAGTTAGGGTTAAGGCCTTTTTTTAATACTTTTTTTTATAACTATTCTTTTAAAAAACTAATTTTGTAGTATTGAAGGTTTTTAACAGATAATTATGAGTTAAAATATTTTAACTGTTCTGCCATCGTTTAATAAAATATCTTTCGTATATCGATCTAATCCAATTGTTGAATTCAGTTTTTCTATCTCTAATAAAGCGTACTAATTAAGATGGTTTGC